CCCGCCCGCTCGGCTCGGGCTTGGGCTCGTTTTTTGACGAGCCCGAGCGGCTCGTGGGCGTGAACAGTACGAGCCGAGCGGGCGAGCCGACGAGCCACTCGGCTCATTTGCCACCACTAGACCGTAATAGCTGGAAAAATTCATAGTTTGCTTCCATGTCAATTGAATCCACATAAGGTAGCACAGGTTGACTTAGCAAAAGAGTTAAAGAGTCTTGATACATGTTTTTGTCAATTTGAGATATATCATCCTATTAAAAAGGTTGATATGATATGACATTTGTTCGAGAGGGGTTGCTCGAAGTTGTGAACAAATAAAAGTATTATTCGATATTTAATATCTTTCAATCTATCTTTTATTTAATAAAGTGTAATTTACAATAAGTGATAATGATTAAAACATTCAAGTATTATTTAATTAATCACAAAAACGTAGTATTCAAACCTACATTTAATACGAAAATAAATAAATAATGAGTTAAAATAAAGAATGTGTTAGAAACTTGATTTCCAGTCACCGTTCTTTAAAATAAAGAATATTTTGTCTTTCAAGAATCTCTGATAACCTGACATAGTACCCCATTAGCAACATCTTCTATTGAATAAAAAAGCTGATGTATACGAAAATAACTTCTTTTATCCTGATACGAAACCAGTAACAAGGTTAACTTAGTAAAGCAAGTCAGCAAGCGGGTACGCATTCGACTCATAGAACATTATTTGGTATATATAAATGAGCAAATATCTGTTAAGATTTGTGAAGCATCATCAAAGGACTAAAATCCAGTTAAAATAAAAAATAAAAATGAGAGGTTTGTTGCATAACTGTGGAAATCGTGTTTTGCATACACATGGCTACAGCAAGAGACACCTGGAAATGAAAAAAACGATATCTGTTGTTTCTTCGAACCCTGCGTTTCTCTTCAAACAGCATGGCACCTATCCAAGTCAATATTTACAAGGAGGATGAGCAGCAAATATCTACAGCCTTATTGAACCTGCGGACGACAAGGTTAGCCACATTGTTTGTAATTAACAACCTCTATCTTAATGAACTTTGCATGTTTTGATTAGATGAAGCATGCTTTCTAAGCTTGCTCAATATGTAGGCCATGGCAACCTTAGCGCCCAAACTGGAATGACCTCTAGACAAGCATAATGCACCCCCAACAACAATCAAACCATTTCTTATCAATTTATTGGAAGGCATTATTGAGAGTCTCTTCGCATTGCATTCAAGAGTCCCCAAGGAGCTAATGGCACTTGTTGAGTCTTCAGGATTAACTGTGCTGGTTGACCCGTCTAGGGTTTCAAATTCAGGTGGGACCTATGTGAAAAATAGAAGAATAATCATTCACAAAGAATAACAAGCTCTTACATATCAAAAAAGGCAAGGAAACGAAAGAATGCAACTGAGATTTATACATATAATTAACTACATCTTTCATGGCTCAAGGAATTCACAGGTGCCAATTGAGAATGCCACAAGACCAGGTTTTCAATGTGGGATCCAAACAACTCATAAAGCATTCGACAAAAGTAAATCAATTGACCTCGTATATCAATATCAATATCCAGGGGTGGTTTATTGGCCAACAGGAACAAATTAACACCACATCCAATTGTCAGCATAATAACCAAGTCAATGAACTCATTAGCATTAGCCTGAATTAGAATAATCCAACTCTGGTAAAAAAAAGCAATGTTTCCATCAAGCTCTACTCTTTAAAATTTAGTAATCTTTTCCAGGATAGATTTATAATCCAAACAGATCAGGGGATTGGCATGTGTAGCTACAGCTATACAAGCCAAGCTTGCAATGTAATTTGACAAAACATGAAAAACTGGACAGATTGTCTGAAGTATAAAAATGTTTGGCACTTGGAATAGACTGGAAGATACCGGGATGATTAATCAACCTTTACGTCGATTACAGTTGGAAGCCAGAGGTTAATTCACATTATTGATTTACATATTAATCTTTGTATATTTATTTTTTTCTCCTTATTGTTTTACTTTGGTCATCAGAACAAAAAATAAAATTCAGCATAGGTAGACACATGTATCAGATCTTTAATCTTGCAATAAAAAAATATCAACATCATACTCCCATAATCCCATTACTATCATGTTCACATCAGACACCTGCATTAGTGTTATCATGCAAAGGTATAGTCCTAACCTTTCGAATTGAAGTAATGGCACCCACAGCTGAATTTAGTTGAAGCCGATTAGTTGTTGAGTATTTGCGTAGTGCATCGTCCATTTTGGACACATAACTCCATATGCCCTTTGCAAAAGCTAGCTTTGCCATTTCCACATTCAGACCAGCATCTTCTTGGTGCACCATTTTGATCTCACATGCATTTCTACCAGGAACTGCAAAAGTAGACTTTGACAAAACTGGTTTAGGAAAAAAAAAATTAATAATAATATCCTAATGGCTGACTCATTAGTTAGCACTCGAGAAAATATTACCTATAAAAAAGCCTTCATGAACCAACTTGTTGGTCTCTCCCTCCCTCTCTCTCCTTCTGTGTGTCTGTGTGCATGGGTTCATTTGTTTTGAAATTTCAATTGCATTTTCAACAGGACCAGCCACCTACCCACCTCCCCCCCAATACATAAAAAGAATAACATACTTTGCATGATAAAAAATTACATTTTTTCCTCAAAGGCTGTTGCTAAAGTTGGGCTGGTTTACATATTATTGAAATTATAATTATTTGGAAGTTAGATATATAATAACATATAGGGAAAACTGTAACGGAAGTCTCCCAATCTATTAAATTTGTGCAAACAGGTCACCAACCTATAAAAGAGAAAAGTGAAAGAAAAATATAGGAAAAGGAAAAAAAATACCAACTCAACTTCACCCCCTGCTTCCTACCCTATCCCCACCACCCAACTGACGTTCCCCCACCACACCAGTAAGCAATTTGTACATTAAGAAGACGATTAGTTTTTTCCTTTGACTTGTTCTTTTCTGTTTATTTTATTTATTTTTATTAAATAAATGTAGAAGTTAGAACCATCTTATCGGTAAAAAATTGACAAGTCAACTAGAATGGAGACATGCCAACTGATGATCAAAGTGCTACAAAGAGGTAGGCTGGCGATTTAAATAAATGCCCAGAATTAAAGGTTAGAGACCTGATTGATACAACACCCATAAATTGAGGATCACCACTAAAATTTCCCTAACATTAATTTTAATTCTTGGTTAACATTTTAGCAGATCTACAGATATCCCCAAAATCTTGATTAAGATTTTCGAGGCCAAAACATAAAAAATAACAAGATATCAAATGAAAATACTACAATAAGATGTGCTCCCTATTGCATATTATGAGAAAGATATTACACACGTACCTCAAAAAATAACAATATCTTGACAAAATAATCATCTATTTAAATTATATAAGTTGACAATTTTTCATTTGTTAAACTTATTGACCATTGAATAAAATCGTAAAGTGGATAAAGGTACAAGTATAGCCCTGTTTTGGCTCCATTTTAATTTTTATGCATTTTTCTCTTCCTTCTTTTCAACCAAACATTCTTCAATAAAATAATATTAAATGTAAACCCAAAACTCTTCCTTCTTTTTTAACCATGCATTCTCCAAAAAAAAGTTTTTTCCAAACTACAATTTTTCTCAATAACTCATTAAAATGGAGCCCAAACAATGGCATAATCATATACATAATGTCACGAGATCTCAGATATATTTGACATTTCCATGAATAATATAAACAACGGTAAGTAGTGATATTAAAAGTTAATAAAAAGTCATTGATAAAATTCGGTTGTCCGATATGTCATTCACATCATTTTACTTTCTACGTGACACCTCCATGGTTTGTATTGCTTTTTATATTAAAAAAATGGTTATAAGAATTAGAAGGAAGAAAGTTGGCTTAGCCATTTAAACGAGAATACAGCCAACTGAACTTGAAGATTGTTCCAACTTTTCACAAAATGCAGCTTAGGAAGAACATTTGACTACCAATCATTTTTGAAAAGTTGAAGGTGTTCAACATTCAGTGTGGGTACCAATAGACATCTCTACATTCTTTGAAAAGAATGATACCCGATCTTAATAAATAGTGAACTCGGAAACATGCTCTAAATCTCAACTTTTCATCATATATTCAACAAGAAAGCGAGAGTGGAAAAGAAAACTATTCGTGCTATTCATCTCCAAACACCTACAGCTAGTTATGGAACTGTCTCAGGCCTACCAACCCAGGTCAACTATGTTATTTTGAGACCGTCAATTGGAAGTGCAAATCACAGGAATAGAATATAAAGGCGAATAAGCAACCTACCGTTCCTGATTCTCCAGCCAGATCTGAAGAGTGTGACCCTTATATACCTTTTCTGTCTTGGAGCCAAAGGATGTTCAGATTCCTAGTAATAGTCACATACAACATGTAAGCATATATAACACATAAGACACCATCACAGAGGGAAAATGTGGAAAAAGAAATATGATAAATACCAAAAACAAATATTATCTCGAAGACTTACCCTATCCATTATTAAAAACTGTGCCAGTTACATAATAAAATTAAACAAAAAAAGTATTCATTTGAACCCATCAATCACTTCAACAGGTTATATGCCAACAAGCACCACATATTATACTTTTTTTTATAACCGTGGATGTTCGGGCCAACTTGCGCGCACCTCGACTACTTCCACGTGGCCCTTTACGGCCGGGTACTCATCTCAGTGGCCCTGAAGCCGAGGGAACTCGAACTAATCGCCACATATTATACTATTTCACAGGTTCTTAAAATAAGCAAGTTTAGCAAATTAGAAACCAGATTTCTTCAATCTATAAAAGCAAGTTGCTTATATCATTTACAGGACAAGTTTCATTTTATAGAAAGACCTAAATCTCAAAATTACCAGCTACAAGATTTAACGAAAAGGTAAACAAAATAATAAGGTACACATTAACAAGACACTAAAATAACTTTTGCCTAGCAAGGATAATCTATGGGTTAGATCATTGGTTTTTTAGTGTGCCGCTTCATGAGCAAGGAACAGAAAACCCACTTGTACTGTGGTATATAACACCTAATTCACATTAAAAATCAAGCTTTAAGCTTTTCAATCTATAAAAGAAAATCCCAGATTTCCATCTCTAGTATAAATTATATAGACAGAAAACTCCAAAATTAACAGCTAAGTGATTCAACTAAAACAGAAAGAAGTAACAGGGCCAAGAGTAACCAGAGAAAATAACAATTAACTTCCAATAAGCCCTGGAATTGTAGTTACTATTTGATTCAATAATGCCAAAAGATAAATAACAGTGTGGCAAATACTCTCATGAACCATGACTATCTTACAGTAAGTTTTTTTCTTTTTCTGCGTTCTTCTATAAATCTCACAAATAACAATGTATCTGTTTATTGCGGATAAAAAGATAACCCACTGCAATTCACTGCAAAGACAGAAGGTTTTTAGTTACACCTTACTGAAGCAGTAGAAGGATCCATCTTTGCCTTGCCAGACTCTCCAAGCCAATACATACTCCCGTGGTGTCAACAACGGGAACTTTTTAATGGTGCGACCAATTTCAGTCCCACTAGCTTGGTCCACCTGCAACTGCTCGTGCTCAACCACAGTCTTGTCCCATAGTTTCCTGTAATCATTGTCCATATAATACTTCATCAGCACCTCAATTGAGCAATTTTCAAATGTTGTGACACTCAAATACTTCAAAGGCCAATCCTGCAAAAAAAGAAAAACGAAAGAGAAGAAACCCCTTCACTTGTGCTGACAATCAAAATATGCTAAAAATATTCAGATTGAGAATAGCACAAGAGCACATACTTTTTGTTTGCAACACTTGGCCTTATACGAAAAACGATTGTTACTTTTGTCAATGACATTTTCCCATATAATAGTTTCATGGAACTTCTCATCTAGGTTGTCTATCAGATTCTTCAAATCTAAATCAGATATAATTCCAGAAATTCTGCAAAAACAAATCCAATCTTACTAAAAATTCTTCTAAAACATCTATACAGCAGCATCAATAATATTACAAAATAAACATACCGATGTTCAGAAAGGGGACTGGAGGTAGAATCGGCGACACAATTGATCATGGGATCCGAATGAGCAGGGTTTTGATTTCTGAAATAGATATATACAAATCGGAATCTAAACCTGAGGAAATTGAGAGTAAAAATGAGGAATAAAACGGCGAAAGTCCATGTCCAGAGTAAACTCCCTCTCTCCATTTTGTTGTTTTCCCTCCAGAATTCTCCTCCCCACATTTCTCTGCGTCGCCCTTTTTCTCATTCTTTGCTTGTTATATGCTGTTACACCTAGGCCAGTCGATATGGAAGAGGCCTATCCGACCTCTTTGACGGGCAGGCCCTGCTCCGACCCATGGGCTTTCGTTCAGAATCTCTCTTCAAATAGATCCTGTTCAAGACATGTAGCTCTGTTTGATAAAAATTAAAATTAAAATTTTAATCTATATTAAAATCAATAATTAATTTTAACTATATATTTTATAGGATTCACAATTTTTTAACCACATATTTCATCAATTTATGAAAATCTAATAAAAATCTGATTTTAATCCCACCAAACCACAATACGCTATGTATATATTTGAGACCTATTTTTGTTGAAAATGAGTTTAGTAATATTAAATTTTTCTATTGAATTTGTGAAAAAAAAAATGAGTTTTTAAATAATAGAAATCAAACAAGAGTTAAGATTTCTTATCTAAGCCCATGTTTGGTATTGATTAAAATCAAGATTTTAATATAAGTCAAAGTCAACAATTAATTTTAACCACATATTTTCTGAGATCCACAAATTTTCAACCACACATTTCATCAACTTTTATCAAAATCTAATTTTAATTCACATCAATGAATGACTAAATTTGATATTGTCAAATACTTTTCAAACCCAACATGATTGTGCAGGGTCGAGCTCGAGATCACGAGCCAAGCTTCGTTATACTTGAAACAAATGTTAAATGCAAGATCTTGGTCTATACGTTTGGACTTCTTGGAAAATCTATGTAGTTGGATAATTAAAGTATTTGATTGATTTAATTTTCAACATGAAAAATGTTATACGTTTCATAAAATTAAGTTTTTGGAAAGTATGAATTGCCTTAAAGATAAAAGAATACCCCTCGTGAAGAAAATATTTTCTTATTTTTAAGGGAAACGCGTCACGTGATCAACTTTTGAAAATATTTTTCAAGGCAAAAGTGTCGATTAAATACCCCAAAAGTAGAAATTTAGGTAGAAAAATAATATTTTCGTGAAAAATATAACCAATCAAACAACCCCTAAAGGTCCTAATGTGATTAAATGTTAAGAGTTATAGAAGGAACGTAGTCCTTGGATTAATTTATATATAATTCTCATGATAGAGTTGCTCTGTTTGATCACCATTTTTTTTTCCTTATTATAATTAGAAATATGACCGTTGTAGTTTTTTTTTTTTTATTTCAGTGATCATATTTTTCATTATAATGAGAAAAAAAAAATGAGGATCAAACACACACCTAATAACATCATGATATTTTCTGTGCCTGAACTCCATACAAGTGACTGTGCTTTTAGGTTTGGCTCATTTGGAAGGTCTGTGTCAAGGACCTTGGTACTTTATGTAGTTGGATCAATAAACTCGCTGCGTGAGCATGTTCCCTCAACCAGGGGCGGAGCCAGACTTTGAATGTAGGGGGAGCCTAGAGGTAGACGTGAAGTGGTGGGGGCTCACGGGGGTTCGGGGGCAGCGCCCCATAAAATTTTTTTTGGATACATTATTAACAAAAAAATCAAGAAACGTATAAAAAAAGTACTAATCTTTAATTTAGCAAAATCATACTTTGATTACGTTATATAACTACATTATAATCGGGCGAAAAGCTACTGCATTGGTCGCTCGAGCGAGTCTCTAGCGAAAGTCGAGCGAGGGTTGAGCAGTCGTCAATATTTTCATCATAACTTTCTTTATCGACATCCAATTGTGATGATTCAAATTCCGTTGGAAAGCTAACTCGAAGGGATACAATTATTCTAGAAATAGCCATATCCAAATTCCAATGTTTTCGATGTGAAAAATGAGTTGAAAGTGGTAATTACAAAAAAAAAAAAATTTAAAAATTTTTTAAAAAAATTTGGTCAAAAATGGGAGGGGGGGCCAGGCACCCCCCAGGCCCCCCCTTGGCTCCGCCCCTGCCCTCGACCCACGTCTAAGGTTGGGGTAATGAAATTACAAGTTAAGGCAAAATAGGGTGTATTAAGGTCTAATTGAGCTTCATCATAATTTTCCTCTTTAGTATCTACGAATCATGTATATCAAGGCAAATTTTGCAAAGAATAATGTATATCACGGTAAATTATTTAAATAATAATAATAATAACAAAATAATTGTAGGGAAATCTCAAAATTACCCTATATTAGTTTGGGTTGGGGGGGGGGGGATCTTTAAAACCTTGCATTACAAAATTTCACAAAAATATCCACGACAACACCAATAAATGAAAAGGACATTTTTTTTTTTGTTTCTCTAGCCTAATTTTTGCTAAAAATTGAAATCAATCAACATTGATTTTGTTGACCTCGATTTCTAGCTGCGTGGCATGACCAATGGATCTAGGTTTCACTCACGTCCACCTGTAAGACTCCTTCACATTTGGATAAATCATTAAAAATACGTGACCTTCTCCGAATGTGGAAGGCAATTGTGAGTACTTCGATGGTCAAGTTAGTCAACTATAGGAGTGAATATTAAGCGTGGAATGAGTAGAAGACATGAGTTACAAGAATGTGTACGAGTATCATGTTGTAGAGAGAAAATAATAAACAACATTATTATATATAGAGTAAATTGCATTACATCTAAATGACAGTAAGTGTGAAATTTTATAGTTGAAGATGTGATATTGTTATCATTGGATGGAAGACACATGTCATCAACTTAATGGTCGATGCGTCATCCTCATAGGTATTGCCTCTATTGTCCTATTGTCCTATGTTCAAAGTATATTTATTGATTCTGAAAAGTGATCATCATATAGCCTAGGTCGCATAAATTGAAAAAATAAAAATACAAGTTGACTGAGAGGTATCTGTTGCAGCACATCAATTACATGGATGATTGTACGAAATATTTTGTGGAAAAGACGAGGCTAAGTAGATGCCTTTGTGGAACTAAAGGCTAACCTCTTCAGAAATGAGTTGCAGTAGATTGTAGCAACTCTAAGATCAAATCGAGCCTTTAGTTCCACAAAGGCATCTACTTAGCCTCGTATTCCTTAGAAGAATAGGAGGTTATTATCATTATCAATTAGTTGAAAGACTTGGTTGGCTCATCTTCTTTCTCCTTATCAACTTGGTACCGATGTAGTTGTTGAAGCTACTACAAGTTTGTAGATTGCTCCCTTGCTACTACCTTTATAATTATCTCCCACCTATTTCTAGGTTGGGTATCATTCTATGGCCTATTCCCAGACATTTGTTCTTAAGACCTATGACTGGGGCCTTATCTTGGGACCTATTTCTAGACACTCTAGTCCTTAATATTCTAATGATTCCAGCAGACCTGTCAGGTCTTTACTCTTATTCGTAAATGGGAGGAAAATTGCCCTCTCAACCAAATAGTGATGGCAATAAAACCTGCCCCGCCTCTTGATAGGAATCCAAAATGCATATTTTTCCCTCCTTATTTTTGTGCTCGTATGATTAATTAATATCAAAATGTACTCATTACGTAATATTTTGATTTAGGTAGCAAAAATATATGAAAAAGAACCAAAGTGAAAGGAAATGAAAGTTCAAGGACTAATGTGAAAATACATAAAAGTTGTGTTGAACCAAATGATGAAGATTTAAGAGTGTTAGAAGTCAATCGAATGAAGAAAAAAGTCAAATGAGTGAAACATCGTCAAAGTAAGATCACACATCAATTTCCAATCGAAAAGTTATACATCGAATTTTTAGTCTCAGTTTGAGGCCCATTTTTTACATGGAAAACGATCTAATTGAAAGATGGTATCTGAAGCAAAGTTGTAGCCCTTTGAGTTAGCTTTCTAATACATCTTAATCGGATATCGGGAGAAGAAGATATGACCAAAACACTGAAAATCACTCAATTACGCCACCCGATCCTAAACTTCATTAACAGAAACCAATATTATTGCCTGGGCGGCCGCCCCATTTTCTACTCGGTGCCTGCCCAGGCCAAATTAAGGAAAAATTTCTGGTTTTCTAATTTAAGTCAACCATCTATGGAAACAACTATAAATAGATATTTTAAAACCCTAGAAAGGAGAGAACATCTCCAAACTCCATTTTTCTTTATTTCTCTCTTAGATTCATAAATTATAATTAAACTTTTACACTTGGTCGAAGGAAATTGAAGTCTCGGAACCACATATTGTGAGATCTAAATAGTTTTTCTTATTTTTTAATTCTTATTTTGCGTGTTGAATATTCTTCTACACTTATTTTCATGATTATTATGTTTAATTGTTAGGAGGCCTACTAGTTTGTTATTCATTACAATCTACCGCTAAATTAAATTTTAAATCCGTAATTGTTTGATCCCTTTAACTTGTGAAGTACTAGGATTTGATGATTTTCTGCGATAGAGGCTATTGAATTTTAAGAAGAATGTTTAAATAGATTGAATCCAATCGCTGATATTTGTGTTATCTAGTTCATCGATTTCTCTATTGTGTAAAGTTATTATTAAATTGAATCTTGAGCGCTGGTTTGGGTTATTTAATAATTAGAGTTAATTAGAACGCTGGTTTCTAATTAACTAAAATTAAGGAGAAATACGAATCAATTCCAACGATAATATTCAAAATATGAATTGAATTATTATTACATCTATGATCAATCGTGTATTTTCGACGGTGGATGCGGACTTAGACCAATGTTAGTCTTTTGATTGTTTTCATTAATTCAATTTTCATTATTATTGATTACGTTATTTACAATTGTTTGTATACAAAAACCCTCCAATCATTGTACGAAACATAAAATATTGAATTACACACTTTTCGTGAGATCGACCATTACTTCCACTACTACATCAGTTTTAAAGGTTAAGGTATTACTTTTGGGTGCCTGCGACAGCACACACCCAATTTTGGCACCGTTGTTGGGGGAGGGGGTGCTAATTTATTTTTGTACTTTTTTAGTTGTTTAGTTTATTTTTATTAAAAAAAAAAAGAAAATTAGTAATTTTCTAGGATTTTTTAGGCTTTTATCGTTTTTAGCAATTTTAGCATAG